TTTCATAAAAAATAAACAAAAAATAAAAACTACATTTTATTTACTTTTTTTGATACAAGCATCACATTTATAAAAAAGATTGCTATTTTCAAAGCAATGGTGTGAGAATTTAAGTTTTATTAACCGTATAGGTTGTCCAATACAACCAACTCATCTGTCCGATACAACCCGAACAGCACACAACAAAAAATCGGCTGTCACTTGCGTATTAGTAAGCCTAACGAGATTTATAGCCTATCAGTTAAAGGATAATAAATGTTGTTTCTAGCCATAAACTGAAAACCTATTTATACTTACTTTCAGACAAGATAAAACAGCGGTTCAAAACATTAAATTTATTACCATTTGGCAACACCACTGCCGTCTGTCCTAATATTGCGTCATCCGTACCTCCATCCTTCAATCAACACGCCGATTGTCTCACAGGTGCTATCTCTAGCGGTAAATGCTTGAAACAACTCTTGTCCGATACTATCGCTTGTCCGATACTCCCCGATTTTCCCCTATATATTTTAGAAAATTATTTTTTTATATGTATTTTTTTTACAAGTAATACATATCACTTAATTTTTTTTAAATTATTTTATTTTACTAATAACTACAAATTTTTTGCGCTAATTTTTGATAGCAAAACATTTGTACGAAGGACGCGTATACTTGGTGTTTTTTACCTCTTTTTTTTAAAAACGTAATTTTGTATGGATATGCATACCATTACAACTAAACTTTTTTTCCACCAATGAATTTAAGACTATGTCGAGGCCGCGACCTTTCGTTTTCCGCATTATCATTTGTTTAAAACTAGTATATCGAAAATTTCCAATATGTTTATCCACAATAGTCAGAAATATTTGCTTAATGATGTTGAGTGACAAAATAATTTAATGCTATTAATAAGCATCTTTCAGTTTTGTAAAATAATTTAATTATCTACTGGTCCAAAAAATTAAAGGATCACCTGTTCTATCCTCTAAAAATAGGCAAACTTCAAGATAGAGCAACTTCGTCAAAAATGATCATATCGAGATGTTCAAAAAAGCATTTTACAGCTTGAAATCT